AAAAAACTTACTAAAAATAATAACAGAAGAAACGATTTGAATGAAAACATTTTGGGATTCTTACAAACTTTTTTAGAAAAGCAAACCAAATGACGGGATGAATGACATAAACTGTGATTCTCTGCTACTGTTGAAAAGCATTCATCAATTGATTTAAAATTAACAAAAATAATGTGTAATTAGTTATAGTTGCAAAATGCAAGTCATCTTCCGCTTCGTTTTATTGGCGTTTTATTAGTAAATAAAAAAGTTTTACAATTTTATTGTATTTTTCATTGAATGTAATCAATTAATTACATAATTAAATGCGAGACTACATAACCATTACTCGAGTCACGAACAGAAATGATTGGGATTTTAAAGTAAATAATAAATTTTAGTTTTCGTTTACTTTATATAACTTTGAATGACTGTTAAAATTATTAAATAAAATCAAGGCATTTAAAATTGTGATCCATTTTTGACATAGAGTTACAACAGGTTATAACAAAACCGTATAAATAAGTCTCTGTTAAAAGAATCAAATACACAATTATATAAAGTTAATTAAATCTATTGGATATTATGTTAAGAGGTATATCATTGGAAGCATTAGCCATTTGAAGACAAATATTGGGTTTATTTGTATAAATAATAATCACTAAAAGGACAGGAAATCATTTTTCGAAACAATTCAACAAAATTGTAAATAAGTATTGAATTTTAAATATAATGAAAGGATTTTGAAAATAATTACAAAAGACTTGAAATCGATCCTCAATTGAATTATTCGTTGGCTTTCGGTTCCGAATAGATTTCGTTGGAATTTTGCTCGGATTCGTCGCTTTCGGACGTTTGCTGCAAGTCTTTGGCGTCGGGAACCCAGAGGCCAGAGTCGACGCACCTCTTCATGTGGACGCGCGCCTCTTCCTCATCGAGTTCTGCGATCGTTTTCTGCAGAAGTGTCACATCGCGTGACTCGAAACACTTCTGAAGGCTTTCTGGCAATGAATTGAACACTTCTTCGGGATCGAGACCTCCCGGACCGATACGCTTCTGGCGCTCCTCCTCTTCCACCTCTTTCATGGCCTGTTCGATGCGCTTCAGTGCCCTCTCCTTAATGCGGCCCTTGAATGAAGTCAACTCGTCCTGAAACGCCTCTTTGTATTCTTTGTCCGCTTTATCGATGCGCGCGAAGAACGCCGACACACATCCGCGGGGGTCCACATCCAGTTGTTTCGACAGCTCCAGAATGTATTGCATTGACACAACTTGTTTGGCCACGAATTCCATCAATTCGTGCTTTTCCTCGATCTCAAGGTTGAGACACCAAAGCGCCAAATAGTTGGCCGTCTCTTCGCATACTATAAACCATACAAACAATTAATACAATCACTCAAAGTGTTGGCCAAAGTGTAAGACAGACCCAACTCCTGGTTTGCCATCAGATATTGTTTGCAGTCATCGGCTTTGGACAGAAGGCCGAAGTGTTTGATCTTCTTCTCATTTTTGGCGATGAATTCTTTGTAAATCTTCTCCAACTCTTCGTCACTCAACTCACTTCTGTCCACTTTAGGGACCGGTTTGTTGATAATAGTCTTACTCCAGCCCTCCTTCGAGATGGTGTCCACATTCCAGGGCTGAGTCTTCTCCTGTTTGTCTAACTC